GGGCTCCCATGGCTTGGCACCTTCAGGATACTGCTAGGTCGGTGAGCGGTGCTCTTCCTGGCTGGAGGAGGGATTGTCCAGGGGGCTTTTTTTCAGAGGTGGGCTTATATTTTTGCCCACACGAAAAATGTGGCAAGGTGTTAGTTTCAGGACAGGTCGTATTTTCAGGGAAACATGGTATTTGAAATCTACGTTTGAAAAATCCTTAGTGTCCTGGTTCATATCAACTACACATCAACCAAACCATCCCTCCTTATCCTGTGATCCTATAACATAATAACTAGGTCAAGGGCTGCCATTCTGGAGAATATAAATCATGAGTCTTGTATATCTCTTATCAGCCTTTGTGTGACCAGAACATGGGCAAGCCTTCATCAGACAAAGCAGGCAATATTGGTTACAATCAAGGCATCTCATCCCATCAGAGTTTGAGGGGTATGTTCTGCAGCTGCCAAATTATGTAACTTCTTCAGTGCAGTGCCTTAACTCTTTTAGAAATTCCACAACTCCATTAATAATAAGAATAAGAATAAGTGAATAAGAATAAGTAATACTGTCTTGGACAGTATTCCAAGCGTATTTCAAGTTCTCAGAACAATGTGTGCCTTGGGGAAGACAGCTTGACCACTATTTTCCTATAATGTTCCTACACCATTTCCTTTAGCACGATAGCTATAGTAGATTAGCTGCTAATAAAATAAAATACTGCTTTCACCATTAACATAGTAAGCAAGATGTATGAACTCAGCCATATAATATAGCTTATACATAACCTTTCCTGGTCTAAAGTTAACTTCTCTACTCAGCTATCCCATTCTGATAACCTGATAACCATCTTTCTGGCCCTGGAAAGATGGATTGTTTAAAACCTGTTTTTAGAACTAGCTAACTAGAAAGCTTAAGGATTAGAAAGAGGAATTATTTGTTAGTCTTCACCAATTTAGAAAAACTGACATGTAAATTCCTGCATAATATAAAGGTAAATTTTGCCAAACTGATTTTGAAATCCATTCACTCAAATTAGCCATCTATATAGAGTAACCTATATATTTTGTTCTCTTTACAAAAAGCCTGATATGAAAAGAGAAGCAAACAAGTAGTTGCAGTGGCTACAGGAACTCTGCAACTTAGTGCCAAAATTGGAACTGGGATCTTGGCTGTTAAGTGGTTTTTAAGCAAAACACCCACGACTCCTTCGCTCAACAATTCCAACATTCTTTGTTGCAATCATTAAGTGATCTCCCAGGTCATTAAATGGACAGAAAGAAAGGGCTGTCTACTTCAGCTCTTTCGCCCTCAAATGTTCCTGCAGCCCACCAAAGGATTCAGCTTCCATCCATGCATGGAGGAAAGAATCTTTCAGAGGTTGATTTCAGCTTTCATCTGTCCCGCCCTCCCACTTGAGACCTTCCCTGCCAGCTTTCCCTTTGATTTTCCCTTTGCAATTGATTGTAAATGAAAGCCGGTTCACAATGCCCAAAAATTGGTCACATGATTGAATGGAGGAGGGGCTTCTACAACTTTTTACAGTAGCCAGAAGTGCTTTACTGAGGCTATCACAATATTCAATTGTCACCTGTAGTCAGTTCCTTTCTTGTTTCCTTGTACTAACACTGAGTTTGTCCTGACATAGAAAGACATTTCTTGTTGAATTATTTTCTCAGCTGTAATATAAAGGCACATGCTTTATATTACAACATACAGAAATATTTTGGATGGTATATTACACATCTATTTTTGCCTTTTAAGGTTTGATAATTTAGCCATTTTTGGGGCTGCTACTAAATAAAACTTCAGTTTGCATGCACCATAGAGGCTTCTATGATATCACAGCATAACTAACAAGCTGATTGCCTATTCTGTAAGGGTAAATCTTTATTTCAGCTGTGAGCACCCAGATTTCATTTCAAGAAAATATCACATGAATTAATATCACTTTCCAAAATGAGCAATAAAACTTACTAAATATATCACATTCATAGACAAGAAATTTCTATACTTTTCAATTTGTACATAACAGACATTGTCTAATGGTTCAAATCTACTTCAGCAATATAATTGATTGATTCTACCCTGTCTCTTCAGGCCTGGGAAAGCTCATTTTTTTCCTAAGAAGACTGTCAGATTGGTTAATTTTTGTATATGTAGCATAAGTCCCAGTTTAGGATAAAACACATTATGAAATATTTTAAAAGGCAAGTAGAGTCAATATTGAATTACATTCATTTCCTCTATGTTAGAGTTAGATAATTTTACATGACTTTTTGTCTATCTCATTCCTCAATTTTATAAATCACAGAAAATCAACTCTTTGCTTTCCTCTTCTGTGGTAACTGTATTATTTGAAATTGACACAAAAATATTAATTCTTTAGATTAGAGCAATTTACAAAACCTACCTTATATTGTTGCAAAGTTGTTAATGGATCCCATGTAAGTGACTGATTAATTAGACTTTGTTTAGACTTCAATTGCTGCATTTTATGAATAGTCTGGGAGCTTTCATATATCCGGCAGAACAGCTTTTGGAAGAAAGAAAATAGAATTCAATTAAAAAATTTTTTTAAATGGCATTACAAATTACCATGTTTTTTGCTCCATAAGATGCACTCCCCCCCCCAAAAAAAGTAGTTAGAAATGTCTGTGCGTCTTATAGAATGGAATATTGCATCACAGGCCTGGCCACAGCGGCAGGGTCCTTTTACAGTGCTGAACCCACCTCCTCTGTCTTTCTCATTGCCCACCTTCTATCTCTTTTCCTCATTGCAGGAGTCAATAGGCAGAGCTGGCATATGAGAGGACACCTCAGGCTCCTCTCAGGCTTCACCTGATTTTTTTTTTCTTGTTTTCCTCCTCTAAACCTAGATGCATCATATAGTCAGGTATGTCTTATGAAGCGGAAAAATACGGTAGTTTACATATTTAAGAAATCCATAAAGACTTCATGAAATTTCATTTGTATTGTATTTTCTTATAGCACTCTGAGAAACAAGGGTATATTTTACATTCATATTTTGAAATTACCTTTTTCAGTAAGGAACAAATCTGTTGCCTCACTGCTGCTGATTGGTTGTTCAAGTTATATCTAATAAAAAACTGTATCAGTTGCATTTCTTCTATGGAAATTATTTCTGTGCTGCGGTGACTTTCACACAGTAAACCCAAAGCATCTATTCGGACCTTTAAAATTAGAAGCAAGTTTCAATTATCTGGTTTCTCTCTGAAATACCAATTCTAACATTTAAAACATTGAGACATGTACCTCATCATGCTGGTGAACCAAACCTTGTTTTATACAGCTCACAGGCACAAGACCATCTTGTATTATAACTACAAACTGCAAGTGCCCATGAGCCCTGGCCGTTCTCAAGCATGCCATCAGGGCTCCGAGAGCTCCTCTGGTTTTGAAAGATCCTTAATAAAATACATAAATTCTAATTAATAAAGATACTGGTTAGTCATTCATTTTCTTCTCAACTCAACATGCCCATAAAAATCAATCCACCAGACAGATTAGTATATCTTAATTTTTATGATACACATAGATGTGGCTCCATGTTACAAGCACTATCGTGGCATTTAAATATTAAGGCCATTTAAATATAAAAACGCTTTGGAAAGGAATAGCTTATAAAGCAGCCATTTGAACTTGACCGATGACATGGCTACTCTAATGACTGAAAAACATTCTATGAAATAATATGAAGTCCTTCATAATATGAAAGCCAAATTTTCAATAAAAACGTGACCTTTTGTGGTAGGAATTAAAGTTGGGGGAACATTATCTTTATAATGTTTATGAAGAAAACTAATACAAGGGGGAAATGACCAACTTTACTTACTTAGTTTGTAATAAAAGAAAATAAAATTTGCATTATTAATTGAAAGAATTCAGAATAGAAATTCTAAAGTATGTTCCCAGTCACCAAGAGTCATCTTTACTTATTCTTTAAGTAACTGAGAACTTGGAATTCTATCCTTCTCCCAAACAAATTCATTTCAAAAAAATAAATAAATAAACAACACCATCATCACCCACAAACTCAGCCTATTTATGGATACCTTACACTACAACATGTTAAGTATAAGATTAAAACAATCTTACCAACATTAGACTCTGTTGAAATCTGAAGGATTTTAATCATGTAGTTCAAACTTTCTGGGCTACATTTTAACAATTTTGGTAAGTAATAATCTGTTACATAGGTGGCTTGTTCTGGATTTCCATCACATAAAATCAAAAGCAGAGGAGAAACCCATGTCTCATGCCAACTATCAATCCAAGTGCTTCTTTCCAAAGATATAAGATGCCTCTTGTGATTCACGAACATGATTTCCAATAAATCACTTGCATAAGGTGCAAAAGACTGATCATTCATTACATCCAAGATTTGTACAGGAATTGTTCTGTCAATTTCCAAAAGATTGTCAATGCCAATACACTCCACAAGATATCCAAGTGATGAGTATTTGCCTTTAACATGCCATTCTAAACCTAGCAGGCTTTCAGTTAATTCTGAGAAGAAAGGGTCTGGTTTTATTATGGATTCTTTCACAGCAGTCTGATGTATTTGAAGAAGATTTTTAAATATTAGCTTGGTCTGGTGCCTAACTGCATCTAGTGGATGTTCCCAATGTGCATACACATAATCCAACATTTTACTAATGGTTTCCGAGTTTCCATTGAGATTGAATTTCAGATTTCTAGAACTTGATTGAAGACAATCCACTGCTACATTGGTCCAAATAGCTAGAATTCTGGACAGAGATGCTGCCATTACAGACTCTTTTAACCTTAGAGAAACAGTATAAAGTAGGGAAAATACATGAGCATATTTTAAAACAAACTGAATATCAATATTCAAATGTTTAAGTATCACAGATGTAGATTTTTTCTTCTTCTTCCACCTCTTATTTACACTTGTTTGAATGCTTTATAATAAAACTATTTATTCATACTTTACTTTTTAGCTGTGCTCAATGTCTGATTTTTTTTCCCCTCTTTGTATCACAATTTCTTTTTCTTTCAGTATATATTTAAGAATATATGCAAGCTGTTCTTTTGATGCAAAAATATTTCTAAGTGGTAAGGAAAATTGTAATGGGAGGTGTGAATCTAATTTACATTATTAAAAACCTAAAAACAATGCCTGGTATCTTCTATAGACTGGATTGAGGAAAACAAATGGATGCTTAACATAAGGTGGTAAAGGTGCTCCTTGTAAGTCAAAAAAAGGAAATTCAAACAATTGTTGAACCATCTTAAGTACCGCTACAAAGTAAGAGACAATAAATAATGCAATCATAAACTCTGTAGAAAAGAAAAGAAAGAAAAACAATAGGTGAAATCGGCCTCATATTTTTTAAACAGAATCATTTTCCCATGACGTTAACAAAGCTTAGTTCCAGATAAGCAGACACAAGATTGTAGCCATGGAGAGGCATTTATAAATAATACATCTCCCTATTTTCTCTGCAATAACAATTTTATGAGGTGGATTGGACTGAGAAAGTGTGACATTCTCTCTAACCAGCTTTCATGCCAAAGGCACTCTAGACCTCACAGAGTAGGCCAAAGCTTCAACTACTAAATTCACCCTGACTCAAAATTATAAAACATAACAACAGATTTTACCGTGTGCTTAAGGTCAACAAAACAGAGGCTATATCCAAGAGTAGTTTCTCTGCATTCTCTCCCATGCCGTGATCTTTCCAATCTAACATAGCAAGTGCTCCATGGCAAAGACAAAGGAGGACAGAGTCAGAAAGTTCAGCAGTACAGAGACCTCCGCAGCTGTCCACAAACCACGTTGGCACATCAGAACACTTTAATAAGCCACAAATCAAGTCACTGATCTGCAAAAAAGAAATGTAATATAACTGTAATATAAGAGAAAAAAAAGTATGGTTTACTAGATCGCTGGAAGACAAGAAGTTACAACAAAAAAGGCAAATAGCAATTGTTATTTCTTTTACAGCTGTCACCAAATGGAAATTAGGAGAGCTAAACTTCAAATAGTACATACTGTATGTTTCCAGAGCTATTTAAGATTACTAGTTATCTCCATTTTACCACCCAAAACACATGCTTTAGCATTACAGGCTATCCCCAAATCCATACAGGATTGCATTTACTCATAGTCAAAAATTCAGATCCATAGTTGAGTAAACCTGTGGGACCAAGATTATAGTTGCAATCCTTTAAACATCCCCTGATAATTGTTCATATGAATTCAATGGGATTAACTTCCAAGTAAATGTTATCTTGTCCCAAAGTTACTTATAATTAAATATTATCTTATTGCACAGTGAAGGGGCAATATTTCCTGTGGTAGAATTTACATAAAATTTGTAATTAATATTGAAATGGCTACTTTTTCAGTTACTTCTCTTTCTTAAATTAGCTTAATGTTTCAAATACTCATTCAAAATTAATTGTATACATATTTTTACTTTTTTTTCAGAAGAAACACACTAACCAAACAAGGTAACTTCTCAACAGGTTGAAACATTGTCTTAATAAAAAGAACAACAGCCAATCCTGCTGAAGTCTGGACAGTTTGTAGAAGGTCTTCTAAATAAAAGAAAAAGATACTAGAATTATAAATGGAATTTAAAGTACTTGAGTACCATTCTGCTTTTCTGAAATAATAAGGTAATTCCTACTATATTTTTTTCTATTGCATTTAACATACTAATTCTCATAAACATACCAAAGAAAATCATTAACTTTATTACATACAGCAGCCTCAATTGTTCATAAAATTATGTGATTATTATTTTTTTCTAATGTTGTAGAAATCATGGTCAAAATTGTAATTGTAATAAACACATATACCGTAATTGTGTTTTCTTCAATTAAACCAGTATAATAAAATACATGACATTATATGATGCATGAACCCAACCATTAATATTACCCTTAATTGAATATCAACTAGGACTTAAAGTAGCCTTCCCAATAGCTGTTCCATTTTCATAAGACTACAAATCAGAATATGCTGCTATGTACAGAAAGAGAGTTTTTAACAATTACTCCTGAAACTTCCCAAACTATCTTTTGTGCTGCTCTAAATCATTCATTCATTCAACTTGATGCCTATGGCAAACAACCAAACATAGAGATTTTCACAGGGCTTTATATAAGCTGGAGGAAATAATTACAGGTACTCCTTATTTACTGATCACAATTCAGACTGGCAATTCTGGCACTAAGAACTGTAGTAATTAAGCAAACAAACGCATGACTGTGCCAGACGTATGATATCACTTTGATTTCCATTGTTAAGCAATCACAGAGGTCGTTAAACGAGACATTGCGTGACAGAGATTTGCAATTTTACATCTGCATTCACTATTAATTCTGCTTGTTATGAAGATTGGTTTAAAGGCTGTGTTTTGTTATAAACATTATAATTTTGAACACTCACTAAAAAGGTAGTTGGTAAGCAAGGCATACCTGTATCCCTTTTGCAAGCAGAATTGCATTCATAGAAATTTTTAAATCCAATCCAAGTTAAAAAAAAATAAATAAGCAAGAGTGACATTATTTTAGTATAAAGATTCTTATTCCTGAGTTTAGCTTTATCTCTTTTGAAATAAACTGTTGGAGAAAAATTTAAAATTTAAATTATTAGCACTATTTACCATTATTTAAGCAGCATATAAAGCAGTTCAGAAGTCCACACATACATTGCCAAATGGGAGAATCCATTTTTTTCCAAAAACATCCCTGTATATTTTCCAGAACTTTTTGGATCAATGTCATGGAAACTTTAATTCCCATAAGCAAATCATGCATCAGCCGAGTTTGAGCAATGTGATTTCCACTGAATTTCCTTTAAAAAGATATAAATAAGACAAATTACTGTTTCAAATCTGTTTGTGAGGATCTTTTATATATCACAACAATATCTACATGCATATATATGTCCTTGTAGTAGACCAATGGATAGAGATTCATATATGTACATTACAAATAAATTTAAATTACTTAATCAATTACAAATACTGTGAAGTTCTTTTTGTATATTTCATGAACATTATGTTTTACAGTTTCTTAAAATTTCTTAAAATTAAAAGTTTTCAAAAGAAAACTTTTGAATGTATGAAAACAATTATTTGCTGTTAAAAGAGAAATCAGCCTCCACATTGTATCTTGAGTACTTACCGATTTTCTTCTTCTATTTTAAGCACAGATTTCAACAGAAATTGAAGAGCTATGGAAATAGTTTAATAAAAACATAAAATTAAGAATTTAGAGAGCTTTCAATATTCTAATCCTTAACCTTCATCTGTAATATCCATATTGAACTCATTGCTCAAGAACTGTATATACAGATAACCCTCACTTACCAACTGCAATTGGGACCTAGAACTCTGTTGCTATGCAGCACAGTCATGAAAAACACCACAGGACTGTGCCAACTTACAACATCAGTTCCACCTGCACCAGTTATGCAAATCATCATAGTTCATTAAGCGTAACATCATGTGATCATGACTTGCAACTTCTGCCAGTTTCTCTATTGACTTTGCTTGTCAGAAGCCAGCTGTGAAGCCTGCAAAAGGTGATTACCTGAGTATGGGATGTTGCAACCCCTGTAAATGTGTGCTGGTTGCCCAAAGTGCCCAAATCATGATCATGTGACTGTAGAGATGCTGCAATAACCACAATTTCAAGAAGCAGTCACTTTTCTTAGTGCCGTCTTAACTTTGAACAGTCATTGAACAAATGGTTGTTAAGCAAGGACTACCTGTACTAGAACAGTTATACAACATATACATATCTGAAAAACTGCCTGCTAGTATAAATCTACCCATTATGAAGAGATAAAATCCAATGTTATATAAGCAGAATAGGTCATCCAATAGCATTTCCTCTTAAACGTCATTTCCTTCCACCCACAATCCACACCTGAGCCTCCCTACAGAATTTGAGAACTCTAGAACTGGCTGAAGGAACACAGACAGCCGATTTTCAGATAGGAAACCCTTCCAGTCAAAAACCTGTCTCTATTTAAAAACTGTAATAACTCAAAATATAGAAAATGCTTTTAATTACAGACCTACTTAGCAACAGAAAAATGCTTCCTATACTGGTATGAAACATTTTCATCTCATATTCTTCTCTCATTCCAACACAAGAAAAGGTACAAAGCATTTACCTTCTTTGAATAGTATAGTCACGCTTGATTTACCTGAAAAATTCAAGTATACATTTTAGCATCTTATACTGAATAATAATAAAAAAAATTAATGTATAACGTATTTTTAAAATGAATCATACCTATGTGTATAAGTTCCACACAAGAAGCAAGATTATCTATAGTTTTTCTAATGTGGGAGAAGTTTGTATTTGCTAATTCTTGTTTAAGGCAGGCAACAAAACTGTCTGTAGCTTCTGCTATAAGCAGTTCTGGAAGGTCATTCAGGCAACTGTAGACAAAAAAAGCATTGCCAAATTAAAATGGAAATACTAAAAGGTTTAAGTTAAAAACCATATCAATGGATTTTTTGAGCACCACAATCTCTTCATCACTATTCTGTTGTATTTGTTTTGATACCAGGCTTCAAAAGAAATCAAAGGAAAATGGAAGATCTACAGAACAAGCAGATCTTCAGTTAAACATTTCATTATTTCTGGGAAAAGAGAGAATGGATTGTAAGTCCGAAAGCTCGGAAGACAAAACCTCTAGTTCCAATGACTGACCCAGATTGAATCCTGCAACAGGATTATCTTGGGACATATATATTTGACGTCATTCATAATTTTCTGGATATCACAAAAAAGTTAACTAAGGTTTATATTACTATACCACTCATAATATCTTTGCCTTTTAATATATAGTGAGTACAATACATATAAATACTGAAAGTAAAGAATAGGATTATAAAGTCAAGAATACTTAGAAAAGAATCATTTTAAAATTTATATCTCATACAAAATATTTTGTCATACAAAGTCCACTACCATTTGTATCATTCATTTTCGCAATATCCATGTTCCCCTAAAAACCATCAAAGAAACATTAAGCACTTTCTTAGTATAAGATTTGACTAGTACCTTGCTAGGACTTTTTTCAAAGGGTTCTTTATATCCAGTGATAAGAACACTATCCCCAATATATCTAAACAATTTTTAACCATGTTATTACATGAAGACTTGGAGTCCATCTTCTCCAGTAAAGGCACAATCTGCAGATGACAAAAAATAAAAAATATTGTAACTTGCTTTTTTCCCCCCCAAAGACTAAAATATACATAGGGGTTTGTGTGTTGTGCGTAATGTATATATCAGGTTTATATAAAAGTCAGTAAGAAGCACAGTATATATAACATAATGCATAACAGAATGTATAATAGATACATGTATAATCAAACATTAGAGTATGGAAACTGATTGTTCTAACCAATCAGCTTATTTTCACAAATTTATTTCTAATTCCTTCTGCATAAATTTCCATCTGTCTCCCAACCCCTTGGATACCACTGAGCATTCTTAATCTTTATTGAACATTTCAGGGCAGGATGTAATCTTTTACTTTTTATATTCTTAATATTAATTTAACACTTGTATCAGAGTTCTTCCAAGCAGGGAAGTAACCTTCTGTTTCTTATTAGTTTCATATTTTTCAAGCAAACTGACAAATTCGATGTTGCTATTCATATTTATCAGCCGTTTCCAACCAGATATCCTTCAACTTTGCTGAAGCAATTGATGCTGAAGCAACAATTTCAATAGTCACTAATATGGAAGCAATATTTCCAACACAGTGCCAGGCTAGGGAAAGCTAGACTACATAATGATTTGGATAATCCTAAAACCTAAGATACTGATCCTTCTTGACTTTTATTCTTGCAATTCATGAATCAAATGTCTTGAATTTTCATGCGTATAGGTAATTATATGAAACATTTGTAAAATGAACCTAGCTGCTAACCAGTATAGAAAATATAGGTAAAGGTAAAGGTTCCCCTCATACATATGTGCTAGTCGTTCCCAACTCTAGGGGGCAGTGCTCATTTCCGTTTCAAAGTCGAAGAGGCAGCGCTGCCCGAAAACATTTCCATGGTCATGTGGCCAGCATGATTAAACGCCGAAGGTGCATGGAACACTGTTACCTTCCCACCAAAGGTGGTTCCTATTTTTCTACTTGCATTTTTACATGCTTTCGAACAGCTAGGTTGGCAGAAGCTGGGATAAGTAACAGGAGCTCACTCCGTTACGCTGCACTAGGGATTTGAGTTGCTGAACTTTCTGATAGACAAGCTCAGCATCTTAGCCACTATCGTGTCCCATGATAGAAAATATACTTTACTTTACTTTACTTTACTTTACTTTACTTTACTTTACTTTACCTTACCTACTTACTACTTACTTACTACTTACTTACTTACTTACTTACTTACTTACTTACTTGATTTATATGGCTGTCTAGCTCATAATTCACAGCAAACAATAATATTAAAATACATCATACCCTCTACCAAGGAAACAGAATCAACCATACTGCTAACCACTGGACTCAAACTCATCCTAGACCATGTTTGGTATAAAAGCCAAGGTCTTCATGGCCTTCCGGAAAGCTAAAAGGGAAGGGTCCCCCTGAATCTTAGATGGGAGGCTATTCCAAAAAGCTATGGAAAAAGTACATTTCAAAGTTTCCACTAGATGACAACATTTAACTGTTAGGTAATATAGCTTGCAATAGTAACATTATTCAAGTATATACTTATAAACTGTATCCATTGTGTTTTAAAAGTAACATTTGTATCCATCATTCAATTTTAAATTGTAAAGTAATAATTGCATCCAACATTGCTGTCCAACAAAGAATAAAAAGCAGATTCCTCTCACTTCCTGGCAGCAGGAATGTGCATTCCAGATTAAAGACTGGGAAGACTCTACATCTGGGATCAAAACCAACAGGATGCTCTATGTCAAGGGTGTCAAATTCGATTTCATTGAGGGCCCATCAGGGTTGTTTTTGACTTGGGGGGAGGGGGAGGGCTTGACGTGACCCGTGTCAGGGGCATCTGTGGCCCAAATGCTCTGACAGCGAAACTGGGCTCACGAGCTCTGTTTTCAGCTGGGACAGCCTCCTGCAACCCTCTGCCAGCAAAAACAGAGCTTGGGAGGGCTGCATGCAGCCAGTCCTTCCCCGTTTCCAAGGTGGCCCCGTGGGCCAGAGCTAAGCACCCCACGGGCCTTGAGTTTGACACCCCTGCTCTATGTCATTAGTAAAGTCTATTCATGCAATGCTGAATGTAGCCCTCAAATTAAACAAATACATGATGCAGCATCAAATAAATGTTAAGGAGTAACAATCTGATTTTCTCATTTGTAGGAAAGACAAAGAACATGGGAAAAGTGAAATTTCCATGCACAATTGTGCTCATTTTTTATTTGTATATAAATGAGACTATATCGCATGCATTTAATGTAATTCCATATTATTCTTTTTACTAGTATAACTAAAATCAAACCTGTTTGATCAAATTAATCTGCTGAATGCCATCTGTCAACTGTGCACACCGCAATAATAGAGAAGCCAGGTTTTGTCCTTCAACATCTGCAAAAGCTGCACATTTAGAAAGCAAAAATATGTTAATGGTCCAATATTTAAAAGTCCAATAGTCCACATGACAAAAGCTATTTCCTACCTCCTCCCTTATACAGGGCTGCATTCACACAGTACACCTTTTCATCACCTTATTTTCCTGAACATTTTCTTGAAAATCAACCCACCTGAATAGTGTAGAATTCAATACACATCAAATAACTAATCACATCTGTTAATGTTGAGGATGTACTTGAAAACTACTTAAAAGACAGAAAAATACTTAAAAGATAGAAGTGATCCAGAAAACAACAGCATAGGTATTGATGGGGATGTATGCCGTTGTGACATCACTGCTCTGCAAACAGCACTTCAATTCAGATAGACTAAAATTGGTTGCCCAAATGTTACCCTTAAGAAATAGATCTTAAATGCAATACAATATTGAGTAAGACTTGATCATTATTAATATAAATAGCCCACTCAAACTGAATGGCCAACTTGCTTCAGAAAACCAGAAAATGGGAAGGACATTTGAAGCACATCTTTAATATAGAACATTTTTTTAAACATCAAACGTTTTGTAATTTCTCTAATTTGCTTTTTACTGTGGAAAAACTTTTTTTTTCAAATTCAGGTAGAAAAAACATGTAGACATGTAGACATGAAAGGGATGATATTCTTGTCTTTAATTCAAAATGTACGCTCAAGGGAAATTAGTTTTTTAAAATCATTATGGCACCACTAAAATATATCTACAGAGACAAATTAAGCAACTTAATTATACTTACAGCGAAGTCTTTCAAGCTGTTGATATTCAAGAACAAAGCTATCAACGTGAATTTCTTTCTTCTTCTTTAAAACCATTTTGGTAGATTAAAGAATTACCTATTAAAGAATAATATATTTCATATATTAGAACATTGTTTTAAATACAAAATTTAAAAATGAGGTCTGTTTAATCCAGACTTGTACTTTGTCTACCTTATTTCTATATACTCTAGAGAAAAAGGTTTAGGAAGACTTTCATTCAGACTTCATTGGCAACTATTTCACCTGAAATACACAAACTCAATCAAGAAAAATCCACAAAGGTCTGGCAGTCAGAAGTTTAAAGTCAAGACTCCAGATGAGGATATCAGCATCTTACTTCTGAAACATTTTCCTGAGAGTAAATCCACCTGAGCAATATAGTAACAAAACTAATCAATACAGATTACCTATTTTTTAGGTTTAATAAACACTTATTAACAGGTTTCCACTAGAATGAAAGCCTAGATGTTATCCTGTTTTATTTCTCTATGTAAACTGTTTGGAAGTATCATGTTTTCTGATTTATGCTATAGTATTTCATTTCTACCTTTGGTCTATATTACTATTTCTTCCTGTTTCATGATGTTGAGGCTATCACTTTATATAAAGATAGTCCTCATTTAATGGGAATAATTGGGACCAGAGTTTCCATCACTAAGTGAAAGTTTCTCAGCTAGTACAGGTAGTCCCCAGCATAACAACAACATATAACTGCATAGCTTAGCAAAAGCAATCCCAGCACTCCCCACTGTCCATAAACAAAGATAAACACTAAACAAAAAATGTTGGTCATTAACTGAGTCCTACATGGTTTACAAGCAGATGATCAGGCAAGTAGGTGGATGCTGCCAGCCAGAGGAGGGGATATGGTAGCCTGCAAGGCATAGCAGTAGTATGAGTGGTGGCTGTTGGGCAGGGGAAAGTGTCAATGGCTTACTGGAATGTGACTTTTTTCTGCTGGCTTCCCCATTGTTTTGCTAGTGGGAATCCAGCAAGGAAGGTCACAAATGGTGGTCACATAACTGCAGGATACTGCAACCATTATTAAATGTAAGATGATTGCCAGTCATAAATATCATTCATTCAAAGCCATCACAACTTCAGTCACTGAACAAGTAGTCATTATACAAGGACTACCTGTACTAGCTGAGAAACTCCCAAAATGCCTGTACAAAACACATGGGTTAGTTCTTATAAAATAATGAAAAAATAATAATATAATCATGATCATTGTAAAACCAAGGGATACAAAATTAGTTTCCCATCAAGCAACCTTGATACATAAAGCAGGCACCAGAAAGAGATGCAAAAAATTAGATATTATTTCAGTTGTGGTTATTGTACTTCAAATACAGCAGGGATCTCCAGGGATATATGAAATAAAACTAATGTTAGAAGTAGGATATGAGAAGTCAAAAGACAAAAAAATCTTTGAAAATATATCACGCCATCATTTGAGAAAGGTAGCTCTAACTATCCATTTCAATGGTAGCAATTCAGAAAATGACTTTGTAAACAGCTGGCAAGTTCACAGAAAGACGGTAAAATTAGGAGACTTCAGACTAACATATTTTGGGTTTCTGAGATTAGATATAAATTCTTGTAATTCCATCCCTTTTTTCATAATAAACTTTGCTATTGTAAGAATTTAGTTTGGAAAAATAAATATGTTGAGTTTCAGACAGATGATAAAGAGACTGACATTCAATTTTTGGTTTGTATACTAATGCTAAAGCCTCCGACCAAGAAGATGGAATTAGAATCTTGGTTGCAAATAATAACACAAATACAGGTAATCCTTGACTTACAATAGTTCATTTAGTGATTGTTCAAAATTACAACAGCACCCAAAAAAAGTGATATACTATCATTTTTCACACTAACAACCACTGCAGCATCCCCATGGTCACGTGATTAGAATTTAGATGCCTGTCAACTGACTCATATTTATGATGGATGCAATGTCCTGTGATCACCTTTTGTCAAGTCAAGTCAATGGAGAAGCCAGATTCACTTAACAACTACCAATATGTTACTAACTTAACAACTGCAGTGCATGTTGTACATGCCCCGGTTTGGGCATAGCAGGCCTCCCTTAAGCCTCCTGGGACCAACAAGGGCATGTAGGGGGGCCCACCCCCGCATTCCCTCCACACATGCATCTCCCACATGTGCACCACCATGAGCATGCACAACAGAGACCCAAAAAGATCTCAGGTTGGGCCTCCTCCGGGTGCCGTCAACCGGACAATGCCGGCTGGCGGGCCCCCGGGGGAGGGCCTTCTCTGTTGCTGCACCGGCCC